CCTCTGGTCTCTATTGCTTATATTTCAGCTCTCACATAGCCCTGGCCTAGGGAGAACAAATCTCAGGGCCTTGGACCTTTTCTTTTTCTCCTGAAGCCCTGCTGAACCGAGCCTCTTGAAGTGACTTAAGTTTTTCATTTTCCCATCTGAATATAATGTGATTCACATGATGGTAGTGTATAGCACAAGTGATCAGGAGCAGGACCCTGATCAGGGGGTCTGAGTTCCAGTCTGACTGTACCCCTCATTAGTGTTACTGATTCCTTCTGATTCTTCCTGTGAAAAATAAGGATAACAGGTGCTGAGTCTTGCAAAGTACTTGCATTGGGGCCTGGTGTTCAGTAAAGGCCCAGTATCAGTGATTTACGTGACACACCAACAGAAAGCACTCAGGCAACTTCAACCCAGACTACAGGAGTCACTGGAGGAGAATTCCTGGGCTCCTGTGCTTCTTGTCTTCCTGGCAGACCAGTAGATGGCAGGTATTGGGCCTGGTTCCTCTGGATTTCCCAGGGCTAGGGTCGGACCTGTGGAAGATGGTGAGAAAACTGGACCCCAGGACAACAGGCTGGGTTGCTTCACATCTAAGACTAGAATGACTTCTGGGGTGGGGTGGGGGAAGGTGAAATGTGGTCAGCAAGACTGTCAGTCATGACTCACATGACACCCAGTGAGGCTGGGTGACCCTATTAAGAAACTTTGACATGATATGGGGCTGGAGAGATGACTTAGTGGTTAAGAACACTGGCTGTTCTTACAGAATACCCAAGTTTGAATCCTAGCACCCACATGGCACCTAACAACTGTATGTAACTCCAGTTCCAGGTGATCTAAAGGCCTCTTCTGTCCTCCACAGGCATTGCACGACACAGGTGCACTTACTTACATGCAGGCAATATATTCATACACATAAAATAAAAATAATAAAATACTAAAATTTTTTTGACATGGGTTGGGGATGTGGTTCAGTTGGTAGAATGCTTGCCAAGCATGTATAAAGCCTAGGTTTGATCCCTAGCACTACATAAATCTAGTACTTAGAAGGCAGAAGGCTCAGAGGTTCAAAGTCATCCTCAGCATGGTGTGTTCAAGGCCAACCAGGGCTATGTGAGACCCCTGTCTAAAAAACAAAACAACTCCCCTCCCCCATAAAACATCCCCAAGCAGAAAAAAATTCTGACAGAAAATCCTTATTTAATGCAGAAAGTGGATGGACTTTCCACTTCAGGACATTTCACTTGAATAACAATAATAGCTAAACCTGCCAATAATGCTCATTTATTGAGTGCTTCATATATATATATATATTAGCACCACCACTAAAGCCTGATGTGCATTATCTCACAGAATTCTTTAAACAACAAGGTAGGGTGATTTTTGTTTCCTTTTATGGAAGAGGCAAGAGAGGTTCAGAGATGTTAATGTCTTGCCCAAGACACCTCAGAGGTAGAGCCAGAACGCAAACCCTTGCTTTCAAAGACAAAAGCAAAAGTTCTTATGGCTGCCAGGACCCAATAACTGGCCTAGAAAGTGCAGAGGGCTAGTGGCACCAACCCTCCCCTCATCTCCCATATTGGTCCTTTTTGGTGACTGGGGCTCCTGCGACCTCACCTGGCACAGGAAGGGGAAGGTTTGAGCATGCTGAACTCAAGGGCAACACAGGGCTTCCTTCAGGGCCTGAACCCCCGGACAAGGCCCAGGCAGGCAGATCCTCCAGCTGTGGCTCCTGTATCCCTTCAGACAACTCTGGTAGCCAGGGTCAGAGAGCTTATGACTGTGGGAGACTGTAGTCCAACTGGGATCATAAAGCTCAAGAAATGGCTTGGTTCCTCTACTCACTGACCAGGCACTCCAGGGTCTGTACACAGTAGTAGATCAGAGCCCGTTTCCTTTATCATCCCCAGCCTCCACTTCCATCTAGTTTCTGGTCTTTCTAAACTACAGCTGCCTGTTGGGTTTCACTCTGTGAGGACTGGAGAAGAACACAGCTACTCAGCTATATCTTGAAGGGGACTAGTTCTATTGCCAGTAGAAATTAGATCTCTTCAAGACTGGAGGACACCCTTTGTATTGCTTGTTGTTGGTTGGCAAGGGGCAGTGGGCACTGACTGAGTTTGAACTGATCTAATACTTCCTGCTGTATGACCCAATGTCATAGGGAAAGGGGATGATGAGGATCCTTTCTCACAGGACTTTGTGCAGGCAAAGGGGTTCAACAATGTGGTATGTATACAGCACAGGACCTGGACCTATACAGGTTCAGGTTATCAATGGAGCCGCCTCTCAGAACAGCCTCCTCTGACTACCCTGCTGAAGGCAAGACTTTTTTGTTGTTGCTCACAGCACTGTTGTTTCTTGAGCCCACTTTGTAATTATATTGCACATGTGTTTACATGTCCTGGGACCATGTCTTCTTCACTGCCCAATCCCTAGCACCAAGAACAAAAGCAGTCAGTGTTGGATGTCCCCTCCCCATGTCCTTCAGGCAGAGCAAGCCATTTTTTCAGAAGTTGTGACTTTCAGAGTCCCTTGTCTTCCCCAGGTCCCTCTAGAGACCACTGTACTACAGAAGGGCTGCATGCCAGGCCTGCACCAGCAGCCATGGGGCTGATGTGGGCCTTGCATTTATCTAGCAGGCCAGGGCTCATGATGGATGAATGAGCTATTCCAGGACTATTTCTGCCCTGCACCATCTGTAGCTGTCTGCTTTTAGACCCGTAGACATACTGCCCCATCACCAGAGCCTCACAATGGCCTCTTCTCACCTGGGGCTGGACCTGGCTTTTAGGTTTCCTCTCTGCTACCCACTGTCTTACCACCCCACCTCCTTCTATATCTCCCAGCCTCCTGCCCTCCAATGAGGCCAGGGCCCATAGGCTTTGGCAGATGTGTGTGGTTTGGGGAGGCACTCTGTGAATCCAGATGTGATTATGTTTATGTTTCCAGTGTAAGAGTGGGAGTTCTGGACTGGGGCTGCTGGGGAAGGGGTGGTCAGGCTACAACCCCCTGCCCCACTTCCCTCCCCCACCATTCTCTTCCAGCCTTGTAGCTGGCCTTGTCCTTCACAACCCCCCATATTCAAATCTGACAGCTTCAGGCTCACCCATCTTCCAAGGAAGGCCTCTTTTCATGGTTCATCTGAAGGTGAGAAGACCAGTGGGAAAATGCCTGGCTTTGGAATCTCAAGCCAGTGTGACCTTGGCCCAGGTATAGACTTGTGGAGCCTGGGTTCCATATGCAAAACAGGAATAGCACTCCAGACTCAGGTTGGTGCTGACCTAGTTTGAGATCGTGTGCACAGGGATCTCTATCTCTTAGTTCATGACTAAGCCTGTGGCTGTGCCCATCCCAGCCAGGGCTTGTCTGAGTCCAACTCCAGGGCAGTGCCAATCCCCATCAAAAGGTGATTCTGAAGCAGAGCATCCACCCCTCCTTCCTCCCCCACAGCAGCTGCAAACATTTTGTTTTGCCATTAGAAGTGACTTACTTGAGGAAAGCAGAATTTTACAGGCAGTTTACAGGCTGGTCTTGTTCGGTAGTTTCCAAAAACCAGGGGAGGGAAGAGGCAGTCAGCAGCCTCAATAAGTTGAGATAGAAGAGAAGTGAGAAGTGACTTCTGGGTGATGGACACTTTCTCTGCAGAATCATATGCCCCTGGGTGGAAGCTAGTAAGCAGTTGGGGCATTAGGGGAAAGGGCAAAGGCAGGGTCTGACTAGAGTCTGGAGCATCCAGTGCTCCACGGAGTCCTCTCAGAACACCCAGAGCTGGGCTCCAAGGGGGAAGAGGCGATGGGCCCACAGGAGAAAGGGCTACCCAGACTTAAGGAGGTTCTCAGAGAGCCCACACGGACCTGGGGGGTAAGGTTATCTTAACACCCTGGGGAATCTGCTGTCACAGCAGACAGCCAGCTTGAAAGCTTGCAGGTTCTGTGTCCCAGGAGGAGGGAGGTTTTGGCCAGGGTGTCAGACCGCAGAGAGGTTGAGCCGCTCAGTCTGTACCGTGGACAGACACAGCTAAGTAGCTCAGAACGCCAGACTGAGTTGGTCAGAAATAGGATGGGGAGTCCCTGTAGGGATTTCTTCAGCTCGGTCCTCCTATCCACAGGGCCAAGGTGGTGCAGTTCCCTTTGTGTTGGCCTCCCTAAATGAAGGAGTCAGGGCTCAGTAGTGCTTAGCACGCTCCGACTACGGTTTTTTTTAATAGACGTACATGGACAAGTCGATATAGACAGATTTGTAACTCTATACAGTCAGTCCGACATACACTGGGACGCTGTAAACGGGCGCGGGCCAGAGAGCGGGTGTGCAAAGTGGGCTAGGGCCCTGGGGCTGCGGCCCCGCGCTCTCCTGGCTCGACTCTTGCACCAGGGGCAGTGAGGAGGGGGTTGTTCGCTGGGACAGAGGGCCACCTCCTGGACCCAGAGTAGAGCAGAGGGCCGGGCTGGCGGATAAGCCTGGGGTTGGGGTGCTCAGAGATGAGCCCTTCCCCTCTCCTGACAAGTGCCCACGGCCAGCTGCGGCTCTGCGCCTTGACGTACGGCTCGGGAACGCCGGGCTGCAAGGCCTCTTTCCGGGCCCAGTGCGAATCCAAAGGGAACACCGGATCACCGGCTGGACGCCGTCATCCCCAGCCCCACGCCCGCCCCAACACGGATCCGACTCAGGTGCACTCTCGGAGAGGGCGCCTTGGTTCTTGACCCAGCTGGATGATCCCCGGCCTTCCAGGCTCCCTAACATTCAGTTCCCAGGCTCAGGCGCTCTCTCAGGGGCGCGGGCGACCAGGGCATCTTTTCCCCACCGCCTCGGCGCTGGCGTCCCCCGCCGCGTCCAGTCCGTGGAGTGGGCACCTGGGGCCCGTGAGGCCGAACACACCACCTGCGCCACCTCAAGGGAAATTGCAACTCATCCATTATTTTTCCCCGCAGATTTTTCTCCGACGTCTTTTGGCTTCCTTTCCCGCCCACCCCTTGGCCTTTTTTTCCTTTCGTTTTTTATTCTTTGAGGACAGAGTGGGGTCCGGAAAAGCAAACACAAAACCAACCTGGAGGTGGGGTGGGGAGGAAGGGGCTGCGCAGAGGCGAGGTCTGCGGTGCTGTGAGCGCCCCGCGTGCTCCACGCCGGCTCGCGCTGCGCCTTGCCGGCCGGCGGCCGGGGGCCGGACTGGGCGGTCAGCTGTTGTACTGGCAGGCATTGAGGCCCGAGGCCGGACCCTGCAGGCCGCCGTAGCCGAACGATGAGTGCTGCTTCGACTTGAGCCGCAGGCTGGCTAGGCTCGAGTTGCACGTGTCCCGGTAGACGCTGTAGGGCGAGGCGGGTGTGCCGTAAGGGCAGGCGCCCGGAGACATGGCGGAGTTAAGCGAGGAGCCGGTGAGGTTGTTGATGTTGTTGAGGCCCGAGTTGGGCATACCGGGCACGGCGCCCGGGCCCATGCTGGACGGCATGGTCATGGAAGAGATGGAGCTGGGGGCCGAGAACATGGACTGCGAGGACAGCGGGCTCATGGAGTTGAAGAAGGTGAAGCTCTTGGTGGACAGGGGCGCCGGTGCCAAGCTCTTGGCAGCCCAGTTGTTGTAGGAGTAGCCGGCTGCGTACACATCTTCGTAGGGCTGCACCAAGCCGCTGAATTGCGGCACGTAGCCGCCTTTGCACAGGTCCAGCTGCTGGTTCCGCTCGCGCTTCCGCCACTTGGCTCGCCGGTTCTTGAACCAGACCTGGGGAACCGGAGGGAGAAATGTCAGGGCTGAGGTAGCCGGGAAGGCCGCTCACCCCCGCCTCTGAGCCACCTGAGCCTCTGCGGCTCCTTCCGTTCGACCTGACCCGTATTTCCTGACTTCTTTCGGTATAGGTTCCTTTCCTTTCTCCGGAAAATGCTAGCAAGCCGCCCTCCCCCTTCTCCCCAGTCTTTATCCCCGTCCTCAAATTAAATCCACTTTCTTTTCCTGATGCGGATTCTCTTTTGTTGGAACAAATATTCGTTTTCTTTCTTCCTCTCTTAACCTGTGACCTTTCTGCTTTCTCCCTCGAACGGGACCTCATCGCTCTTCTAAAGATTTCACTTTTTTTTCTTCTCCTTTAGTGGGCAAAAGGTATTTTTATCTTTTCCAAAAATGACTCTGACTCCAAGTTTTCAATCTATTTCCATTGTTAAAATCGTTTGTTTTCTATTTGCAATATCTAATAATTTCACTTGTGTCTACATGTAATTTTTGTCCACGTCTTCCCACATCTAAATACCAGTCTATTTTCTTCTTTATCCACAACCCTCACTTTTATCCTTTTGATTCTTTTCCAAATAGTGCAGCCCTTCTTTTCAAGTATCTGATCTTCACTGTTTCTCTTAAACAGTTGATCCTTTCTTTTTCTAAATACTCTGTCCTTTTGCTAGGCCCTTAAATATTTAATTTCTTTCCTACTGCTTAAATGTATGCCAAATACATTTCTCTGCAAATATTTAATTTCCTTTAGCTTACTAGCTTTTCTCAAATCTCCACCTGTTTTCTCCCAAAAAGTTTGGTAAGAGCCACTCCCCTCCCCAGCCAAATCGTCTGGGGAAACAACCCCTATCTGCCTATCACTACCCCTCTGCCCTCCTAGACCCTTCTCCAGCCCAGGGTTCCTGTCTCCAGCTCCTTGTACCTCTGCTTTCTCCAGGCTCTGATTCTACCTACCCACCCCCACCCCACCCCTACTGCCATAAACCTGGGCAGGATTAGTGAGTTCAGAATTACTGAGTATTGAGTCTTCATCCTGAGGCCCACTGGGTCAGGCCAACCTCACTGGAGAGGCCTGAACGCTGGACTTATGGTGGAGAGTATGTAGGTCAGGTGGGACTTTGGTCTGGCTTGAGAAGTGCTTCCACTGTCTGATTAAATTTTTTGCCCACCCAGGGAAGAAATGATTCTTTTGCTACTCAGGCAGGAAAATATTGCATCCGCTGGGAATCAGACTCTGAAAGATGCCTGAATACAGTATGGTCTTGGGGCTTTACATCCTGAAAGGGATAGTGAGGGCCACTAGCTGCCAGAGTCCCCTCTACCCTACCTGACCCCACATTTACAGTGGAAAGGGATATTAGGCAAAGGATCCTGACTGCCCAGGGAAATGGAGAATATTCTGAAATTTTGGAGAATGTAAGCTCAGAATGAGACCACCTCCACGGCTCCATGAAGTTTGAGTCCCCCCCACCCCCCAACCCAGGTACCTTTCGGCCTCTCTGAGGAGGTCAGGCAGAACCTGCCTTTCCCTTTCGTTTTCCTGGTGGTGAAGTTTCACAGTTCCCGAGGTCCCCAGAGGCAGGGAATCAATCCTCTGCCCAATCTCTGGGCCTGGGTGAGTCCTGTTAACTCCAGGACCTGAACGAGTTCCCTTGGGATAGGACTGGGGCTTGGATAGAGTGCATCTGGTGAAAAGGGGACGAACCGCCCGCCGCGGGTGGTTGGGGCCTAAACTGGGGTCTCCAATGCGACGTGGGAGAGTTAAGTCTGAACTCCTGAGAGCTGCGGCAGAGGTGGCCAGCTGTAGCCCTCTGCACGCGTGTTTTGCTCACCCGCACGCGCGGCTCAGTGAGGTTGGTCCACACTGCGATCTCCTCTCTCATACTCATGTCTGGGTAGCGGTTCCTTTGGAACGTGGCCTCCAGCTCTTGCAACTGCTGGCTCGTGAAGTGCGTGCGTTGCCGCCGCTGCTTCTTCTTCTTGGCTGGGTCCTCCCCGCCGCCACAGCCCGCGCCGCCCGCGCCAGTGTCCTCGGGTCCCTTGGACTCCCCGCCGCGCTCCTTGTCTGCAGCAGGCAGGAATGGGCGCGAGTCACCTCCAGGCTTATGCTCGGTTGCACCCGATCCCGGCTCCACCGAAACGCCTGCAGTCAGTGGCGGCTGCCCTCCCTCCCGTCAGGGGCCCTGGGAATTGTCCCCCTTAGGAAGCGCCCAGCTGGGGGGCTGGTTGTCGGTAGGCACCTCCGGTCTGCTGTGTCACTGAGAAGGGCCCTGAAGCCCGAGCCGCTGCCTGGGCTCCGGGCTAGGCGGGGCCTGCTCCTGCAGTCCCGGCTGGCTGCGGCCCTGCTGCTGCTGTCACTAGGAAATGCATGCTGTTTTTGCGGGCTTTCGGGGGTCTAAATCTGAGGGGGGCATTTCTGCTTTTCTAAACTAGGATCAGCTCTTTCCAGTTTAAGCTAGCAGATTTATAGGGCTAGAGCTAGGTGGTGGCCTGAAACTTTGCTCTTGCCAGGACTATGTTAGAACCGACTGAGCTGGTTCCCGGCCTTACTTACAGGCCTTGGGTCTCAAGGTAAAGAAAACCCTTCCAACAACAGCCTCGACAGACATATTCTGTTTAGGTGACTCCTGCCTCTCTGCCTCTTTAAAGCTTCACAAGATACATGCAGTCAGAAACATTAAAACGTAAAGAGGAAGTTTAAGACTAAACAGAAGCCTAGAAAAGTTCAGGGCTCTCTACCTAAAAGCAGAAAAGTTCCCAAACCCTCAAAAATAGGCAGATTGAACCAGAGCAAATGTAAATTAAGAAGTCAGAAACCTCCGTGCAAACACACCCCTAAACTAAACACATAAGCCAGACCTGTATAAACTCCAGTCAGATAGGCAGTTCTCTCTGCGTTAAAAAAAAAATCCATGTATCATTGCAGATTAATTTTAAACTTCACAATAACGCTCTGGCAGAGATAATCTTCAAATCCAAGAGAAACACAACATTATAACTGAATAATTTGAATTCACAAAATAACACTGATGTGAATACATTTTAAGAAAAATCTCAGAGAAATGCGCCATTTTGGATTGACTTTTTAGACTCTCTCCAAGAATAATCCTGCATGTAGGTGTTTTAAATTCCAGAGAAATGCACCTAATGAATCAGTTCTCTCAAAAAGCACACAGTTAAAGCTGTTAGATTTACTTTAAAATCTAACAGTTTAATTAAAAAAATCAATCTGTAACTATAGTTCTCTGGGTTTAAAAGAAAACCAAATACCACACTTAAAACTTGAAAAGTACAGTTGAGCTTTGTTTTCTAACCAGGCAAACAGAACGGCTCAGGGAAAGTCACTCAGAGATGCAAAACAGAAACAAATAGAGATTTAAAACTCGGAGAGAAATACTTAACGGTGGATTAAGAAATTATTGTAGAAGAAACGCTCAAGGACCCGGACCGGGACGGGACGGTGTGGAGTAAGGAGCTCAGCGGCCTCTTGGAATTGGGACCCCGAGCGCGGGAGCCTAGAAACCACCCGATGGTCTGAAAACCACCACGCCACGGCCGAAGCCGCCCACCCGCGGGCCCTGCTCAAGCTCTTGAGCTGAAAA